TTTTGACAACCACCCATATATTGTATATTATATGTTATGATCTACTGGGACCCGGCGAAATCCTTTTCGAGCTCTTGGAGCAGCAGCCTTTTGGTTCAATTATCCTTGGCCGTCGCAGGCAGCCATGAGTCACAACTACGCAGATCCTGGGTTGCTGTTAAGGAACTTGATTTAAGTTACTATAATAAGGGTATGTAGGGTGTAATTATACAGGGGCATATAGGGATATATATATATAGGGTCCAGGGTCAAGGAACTTATTTTGAGTTATATCACCCCCCTATAATGGAGAATCAAATGGGAAATAGTATTGACACTGAAATTGAGACTGTGGGAATATAGGGAATTAAGGGATTCCTTTTAAGTTGCTATATTAGGGAAGCCTTCTTAATTGCTATATATACCCATTATGGTGACTTACAGCAACCAAGGATCTTTATCCCATGTGGGTGGTGAGGACCACAGATGTGCTGAAAATGCATGGGCCTCCCCAAGTCCATGAGGAATTACTTAAAGCTGGCTTGCTCGTGCTTCGTGAGAGTCACTTCAAAACCATCTTCGTGTCCCATCAGTGGCTGGGAGCAGTGCACCCGGACGAAGATGGGAGGCAGCTCCGAATTTTGCGTCTCTGTATTCGCAACATTTTGAGCGGCAGCCTGAAACTCTCGCCGACAGACTTTGTTTCAGTTGGGCAGTCAACAGCCAGGGAGCAGGGTCTGTCAAGGTCAGAGCTTGATGATCTGCGCAATTCCTACATATGGTTTGACTGGTTCTCCATTCCGCAGCACGGAGCTACAAAAGATTTTGCCTTAGCGGTCCAGTCCATTCCAGCATTCGTTGATGCTTGCGAGTTCTTTGTCGCCTTGGTCCCGACTATCCCGCACAAGAGCACTGGAATGGATTGTTCATTCACCAGTTGGCTTGATAGAGGCTGGTGCAGGGCTGAAATGTGGTGTAGGCTTTTGTGTAGCCGGCCCACCATTCCTATCATCATTGTTCTCGACCACGACCATGCGGTTTTTGCGACACCTTCTCAATGCTTACCCTACCCTCCTAACACTGGAGAGTACACAGTCGCCAAAGACCGAGTGGAGGTGAACAAATTTATTCGAGTTGCCTTGCGAAACAAAATTGGTCTTCTGGAGAGCAGAAGGACCACTGTTGACATTGGCCGTTACTACAAGGCAAGATTTCAGGATATTCTTGGACTCCCTCCTGCAGATCAAAATCCAAGGTCTTTTGTTTCACACTTTTGTTTCGAGTCCAAGGAGGAGGCTATTAATGAGAAGGCCGGCATGGGTGCGATGGCATGCGCAGTGCTCTCCAGGAATGTCAAGATGATGCGATGGCTCAGCCGTTCCGGAGCTCCGCTTACGACACGGCTTTCTGACATGACATCCGTGGGGATCCCAGACGGGTGGTCTCCTCTGCACCTTGCAGCACAGGTCAGCTGGCACGACATCGGTCCCCTCCAAGAACTGCTAAGCCTGCGTGCCAACCCAAATCTTACCGATGCGGTCGGTGTCCCGGTCTTGTCTGCGTGCAGCTCCGCAGAAGCTGTCCACTTACTGGTGGACCATCGGGCTGATGCAAACCTTCGCCGCTCTCCCAGATTCGTGTCAGCCTTACAAAGCAGCTGCGCTCTCTTCAGCCCCATCGAGACCGTTGCCGCGCTGATTAAGTGCCGAGCTGAAGTACACCCCGGTGAGCTCTGCACCTTGGCAGGGGCTGCGACTATGCAGCGTCATGAGGTCGAGCTCGCTCACCTTCTGATTCAGTCCAAGGCGCAAGTGAACGCACGGCCGAGGAACAGCAACCGGCAAAGGCTGACGGAGTTAGCCTGCCGGGCGCGACTCATGTTGACAGAGCCGTCGTTGAGGGTTCGACATCTTGCCGAAAGCAGCACCACCGCGCTGGGTCACGCGTGTTTCTGGGGGAGTGCCAACTTGGCAGCCTTTTTGCTCGGGGCCAAGGCCAACCCCACAGAAGCTAACAATCGTGGACACACGCCAGTGCAGCTGGCCCGGCATCAGGCAGTCTTCGATGTTCTGCAGAGCTTCGTGGAAGAACCACATAACGGAATACAGAATCACAAGAGTGACAGCACTCCTGTGCGGAGCCATGTGCCTGGGGTGGAGCTGCGTAGTCCAGTAGCATCAATTGAACTTGACTTCTGGGCCGGAAGGAGGCTTGAGGATACTGGAAGGAGTGCAAACACGGAACTGCATACATTGTCAACGGTCCCGTTACATTCTGTGCAGCATTTCATCGAAGATCCTACAGATGATTCATTCTCCGTGTAATTATTGTTGCTGAGGCCTAGACTGCTTGCAGCATGGGCAAGAAGACAACATGTTTCACTGCCGGCGATGAGGGTAGCAATGCGCAAGCTGCCCAGGGTGTGGCATGCCCGGGTAAATTACGGGAATTCCTGCCTCACAATTGGTTTGCGCTAAGTCGCTAAAAATCAGCGCTTTGTGTTGACAGGAGTATGTCAGCCCATCCAACTCTCCTGAGGCATCACTCCACGACTTTCCCGAGTGGTTTTCAAAACTGTCAGCACGGCGTTTTTCACCCCTCTGACCTTAGACCCCTCCAGAGCTGACGGGGAAACAGAGACCGAGTGTGGCATGCTGTCTTTCTGAGTACTCAATGGGATTCTTAGAAAGTTTTACATTCCCTTGCGAACCTCTACAGGGGCCAACTGCCAGGTTTGCTGGGTGCCTGCAAGTCTGCGCAGCTGGCTGACACTGAGTCGCTGGGCTCCTAGGCTTCTCACCTCGTGCTGCAACAGCGACAGCAGCGACCGGCCCTGTAAAACGGACAAAGCAGACCAAAGGGAGGTGTTTAGAGTATTGCCAGGAAAGATATCCTTCAGGCCGGGACACGATCGCCCTGAGCTAGGCTTTTGGGTGTTTCTAAGAAGTTTGCACCGAGTGAATCAGTTAGCGGATCATTACGCTTGCGTTTTTTTCGCTCTCCCTCAAGATGCCTCAAACTCATGTTCCAATTCTTGACGCTCCCAGCTCTGTAGTACAGAGATGCTTCCGAGGAAAACCAAGGTTCAGTTGTGGAGCAAGTGGCTTCAGGTTGCAGGTACTTTGAGATTTGGGCATCAGGTTTTGGGATGCATTGTGCATGTGTATACATACGTACATACATACATACATACATACATACATCTTTATACACATGTATATCACGCCTTGCTGCTGGGGAATTTGCTGGGCTTGCAGCTGCCCTTATTCTGAACCGCCTTCCAGCAACATGATTTCTCGCGCTGCAGGGACAGCAATTAGCAAGCTTCGCCAAGGAGCATGCACATGGGACACGAGGGTTGACTTGAATAGCTGCATCACAGCACCATTCTCAACATTTCTCCCATCGCCATGAGTCATCTGGGCTTGGACTTGATGGCTGCTCTCTGGAGACTTCATGTTGGGCTCGTCCTGGTACTGGGAGTCGGCAAAAAGCCTCTGTTTGAGTACGATGATCACTACGTGATGTTGCTGCTTTACTACATACAGTCTTCTTGTCGTTGGTTTCTCTGCTTGAAACTTTCAGTTACAGGCTGCCATGCATCATGTGCTGCTCCAAGGAATGATTTCGGTCGCAACAGCTTCTACGAGGAAGCGCTTTCGGAAGCCTTGGCCAGGCGGGTCTTCATGACGACTGCGTAAGGGCTTAATTGTGCTAGACTCGAATGAAAGAATCTGCCTTAATTACAGATGTCTTTGATATGTCGGCGGGCCTATAGACGGAGAGGTCTTCCTCGTAAGCTTCTCCGGCTCTACTTTCGAAGCTCTTTTTTTTTAAACACCTCTGGCACGTGAAGCAGAAGCCCTGAGTTGTTTCAACTGCTCGGTCGTGGACCTCGGAGCTGGTAGTGGGCTTTTGGCTATACTTGCTGCGCGGGCCATGGCCGGATCCGGGACCATCTGGGCCATAGAGGCGACACATGGCTCAGTTCAGGGCGTAGGGTTTCGGGAGATTACCGCCCAAAATGCAGAATCAAATGGATAATGAAATGGAAGCTGGGATTATATCGTCTATAGCTGCTTCGGACTCAGGAATCCAGATCTCGCTGCGCTGGCCATCAAGACCATTAAGCGAAACACAGCCTTGTATCCACGTGCAAACATAAGCGTCATTCCGCAGCTGTCCACGCGAGTTGATGCCAACCATCTCGGGCGCAAAGCCGACCTTCTTGTGACTGAGACGTTTGGGACCCTCTTACTGGGCGAGGGAGCTCTGTCCTTCGTGTCAGATGCCAGCCCCCTGGAATTTGAACAGCAATATTGAACTCTCAAACACTGCGTACGGCACATCAATCAGGAACAACTTGGGTGTTTCTTGTAGGGGTGTGTTGTGTGTGTGTTTTTTTGGTTTTTGTGGAGCCTATCACAAAGTTTTATCTTGGAAGGGGTTCATTATAGCGGCTTGTTATAGGGGCTTATTACGGGCTTTATAGAGGGATACGTATATATACAATATAATATACGATAATACGATATATATATATATATGTATATGAAACTGGCCCTAAGTCCCAGGCTCCTGAATGTGTGTGTGTGTGTGTGTGTGTGTTCGTCTCCATGCTTGCTTGTCTTACTGGCCGAAGCGCACCAAGGAGATCGTTTCTTGAAACGTGACGGTCGCATAATTCCCGCCGGCGGCTGTCAGTATGCAACGCTGGTTCAGATGTCTGACAAGGTGTGGTCACCTCCGCCGTGGAATGGCTTCAATTTGAGCCGACTGCAGGATCTTCAGGACACGGTTTACTGGAAGGCGGGAGGCGGCCAGAAGTTCTGCCATCTGCTGTAGTGTCCCCTTTGAAACGATTTTTTCAGTCGCTAACATTTGTCACCCCTCTGTCAGTTGCCAATGGCCCTCGCCCGCGTTTTGTATGCAACCAGGCAATGGCTGGTGCCTCCAAGTCGCAGTACGTCAAGCTCAGCCAGCGCATTTGCATCGTGGAAATCGATTTCTACACTGCCACGCCGGAAGCGCTTCCAAAGAACCGCACGTTCTGGACTTCCACTCAGTTTCGGTCACTTCCGTGGTACACCCGCTGCACCTGACCTGCTCAGGTTTGAAATGCAAACTACTGGAACTGTAGATGCGGCCAGGCACATAGACCGAGGAGCCCAGTAAGCGTGTGTTTTCCATCGGTTCTCCTTCTCGGAGATGGCTGCTGGCATCTGAGTGAGGCCTTGTTTGACTGGGATATATGGGTGGATCGAGACAAGCGCAAGGCAGCTGGAGCGTTGCTGTAGCGTTCCATTTCCAATCACATCTTCATTGCCACATCAGGTTTTGAGCACGTCTCAGGGCTCTCGTAACTTTGCCGGTGATGCCACTTCGGACGCAACGAGCAGCTCGCTTCCCATATCGTTTCCTGATGTTTCGTCATGTGGATCTTTGGAGGTTGCATGGGGATGGCTGCTGCAACCGCAGGACGCCCGCAGCTTCGTCATTTTGACGCATTGCCTTCTAGTCAGACTTTAGTCAGAAGAATTGCAGATGAGGAGGAAGCAGGTGATGGTTGGCGACTGGGGGAGCGGCCGACAAAACTGCAAGTGAAGGCGCGCTTCCGCCACACGGCAACACGCGGTGTTCCATGACCTTTGCAATGTGTGCAAGGCTGGTGAATGGGTGCAAGTTGCAGTGGAGTTCATTGCGCCAAGCCACCAAGATTCGGATTCTAGCGTGTGTCCGCAAGCATCGGATCATGAATCTCCGTGCAGTGTCTCTGCCTGAGGACGGGAATCAGCTTACACCTTCGTGCAAGACGGGGTACAGATCCTGAGGGTCCGCCCTACAGGACCCTTTTCAGCAGAACCAACGCGATAGCCTCTGGCACAGGTCAAAGACAGGAGGACAACGAGATTCCCTCCATTGGCTCACCAAACAGGCGGCCTGTTTTATGACATATGTATAGGTGCTGGCCCGCGAAGTCAGTGCCGCCGCAGCCAACGAGCCCACGGTGCTCTGAAATTGCTTCATACTTCTTGCTTAGATGAGCACAGGTGGGTACAATCATGGCTCAGGCACTTCATTTTTGAATGCTATAACGTCAACAGACTTTGAATGCACTACTGCGCTGACTAGCTGCAGCAGCTTTTTCTGAAATGTGATGCAAGAGAGAGGTTGCATGGAATTCCGCGCCAAACCATAAAGGAAGTCAATGAGCCATGATCTCAGATCCCAGTGCAGATCCCATCAGCCTGTTTGGCGTGCAAACGAACAGGGTGCGCCGCAAAAATGTGCGGACTGGTAAGCTACATGTGTTATGCATATGCATAGGGTATCTGCTGTGATCGTATACACATACATACATCTGCATATGTGTATATATATATTATGTATATACATATATACATATATACATATATGTGCTATCCCCATCTGTGAGAATATTGTGTGGTCATGCAATCCTGCTGCAAGGTTTTTGTTGCCTGTGGCTGGAGATCAGGAGCGTCATGACTTCTACGCGGAGCGCCCAGATTGTCAGCACTGCTTTCACTACAGCTGCTAGAGGAAATCTTGAATCGCCCGGCATCCATTAGCTATTGCAATATATTGTAATTCTTAGGATGTACGGGCCTTCAGGGTAGGGCAAGATTGTTTCCATCGACAGCATTTGCTCGTTGCAGCCTACACAGATGGCAGGCGGTAGCCTTGCAGAGCGCGGCTCGGGCCTCTTCGCCTATGGCACATTTTGCATGTTGCATGGAACCGGTAGCACAGGGCAGCGCTGCCAAAAGCCTAGGTTCGACAGCTGGGTACACCTCACACTCTATTGGACTGCAGCGGAAATGCTGGGCTGTGCGGTGCTGAATTCCTACGACTATGGGGCAGACGGACTGAGCTGAGATTCTGTTGCATAAGGCCTGGTTTCTATGCCGCGAAGCACCACGGTATTCGAGCCCTGGTCATGCCTCGCCAGAGCCTCAAGATGGCGCATCAAAAGTAAACTACATAACTACATTGTAACTATATATAACCCTTATAGAATCCCCATATTATCACCTGTAGTTTCCATTTTATTCTCCATCATCCCAATACAACCCCAATATAACCCCGATAATCCTTGTATAACCCCATTACAGCAGTTTCCATTTTCTTTTCCATAATCCCAATATAACCGGGGTCATGCAGCTTTGTCCATCTTCACGGATCTGTTTGGGGTTTCTCCAAAACAGGGGGCGCATTTTGGGAGGTGCTGCTAACAAGATTTCTTGTATTTTAGTATTGGGCGGGTTCCTACAACGGGAACCCTGCTTTTTGGGGAAGCTCCCATCTAGCTCCAGGAATTCTGGCAACGTCCACTTGGGCCAAGGCTCCGAGCAAGTTGCCTCCATACTGCAAAAGGTTGCAGAGGCCCACTGACACCGAAGTTGTGTCAACCTGTGGTGCACTCCATGTCAATAGCAGAAAACTCATGTCGGCTATGTCATGAAGGGATTGGGCATCCAAGAGTTATTTAAGTCACCATCCATCCGCTCAGAGGAGGAAATCCCCATATGGGCAATTTTGGGGGGGTTCAGAACACAGGTGAGGCGAAAGTAACCGAACAAATTGCACGATATGGGTTTGCTGCCACAGCAGTGCCAGAGGACAATGGCGTCAACGCTACAGCAGAAGTGGAGACCTCAGCGGTAACAAGTTTCTTCTCGCAAGGTTGTGCTGGTCTTGTGAAAGATTCACCAGCCTCCGCTGCAGCACCCACTGTCAGGTGTTTGCAGCAGATCCACGAGAGATGTGGCTGTGCTCAGTTCCCGTCTGTGATGCTGAGATGTGCTTCGATAGGACAAATACGACACGAAACATATGCAGCTCCTGCAGAAGCCTATCTGAGCGAGTCTGCTGAGTGAAAGGTTCGACATTCTGCTGCCAGAGGGCAGGCGAGCAGACATTGCTGTGGTGGACCCTCCAGGTGGCTGGCCAGACATACTTTGCCCTGGCGTATTCCAAAATTGGCTGTTCTGCTGGGCGAAGCGTGAAGTTTTCTCTTTCGTTTTGCAAGTGTCATTGTCAGGCACGCCGCTTCATGGGCTTAGCCCCTTTGCAGTCCTACCATCTGTTCGGAAGGAGCTCCTGCAGGCCGGATTCCGAGATCTCATGGCTTGCAGTACCTTTAGGTATTGGTGTTGCGAAATGCTGCGAAGCTTTTCCTGACAGGACCAGGGTGTTGTGGTGCCGCCACTTGCATGCTTTGAGGTCGCACTGATTGAGAGCCTGAAGCTCAGCTTTGCTTCGGTTGGACGTGATGCAAGCAAGCTTGCAAGGCCCGGAGCTTGCCTACATGTTCTCCATACCGAACGGATCCTGGGGAGAGGCCGCTTGCATCGGGCAGGGCTTACTCGATCCCAAATCTCGTGACCTGATCCAGGTGGATCTTCAAGTTTGGAACGAGGAGGCGAGCGGATGGGCTGGGCAGCCGGCCAGGCGCATTTGCAGACACAGCCCAGGCGTACCGTCAAGGCGTGTTGAGGCGCATGGCCAGCCACTCAATCCACGGTCAAGCAAAATGAGCTTTCTGCAACTGTCTCCGACTCTCCAGAGGTGCCTTACACGAAGTGGCTGGGAGGGCGGTCCACGCTGAAGCTCAGGTGGCTGGACTCAAGCAACCTTCAAAATTGACATCCTCAGCCTTTCAGCCAGCAGTTCTGAGCAGGTGGTTGTCGCAGCCGCAATGTGTGTACCATGTCGTGGTTAGCTCAGCGAAGTGGCGAACTTGGTGCAGAATCACAGGCATGGTGGCCAAGGACCTCAACCAGTACGGCCGAGCAACAAACTCTGGAGAGGCATCCAATCATCGGGCTGCTAGACTCTCATGGCTCTAAATAAATCTACCGGCGCTGGCCTGAAGCAGTGCAGCCAACTTCATGCTTCAGTAAAAGATGGCCAGGCTTTGAGAGTTTGTAGGGATCCTTCTGCCAAGCTTCCAGGAGACCTTCAAACGGTCGCTCGTTGCGCAAACGGCCGGCGTCGTGCATGCGCTTGTCGGACGGTGGGCAGTGCCCTGGCTAAAAAATCCAACGAAGAAGCCGGTAATCCATTCCAGCTCGAGCTCGGAGGTCTTCTCGGATCTGGGGCCTGCAGCTCAAAAGCTCGGAGCGGAAAGTGCCCTCTGAAGATAGTTCCTGCCGAGTACCTGAAGCGCTGCCTGTTGCCTGCTCGCTCTGCGTTCTTCGGATGAGAATAAAAAAGGCCATCAGTGGATGCATTTGAGAGCGCTGTTTCAGGTACTTATCTCGGGAGAGATCTGACTTGGCCGCATTACGTCGGAAGCTGAGGGCATTGACACATCGCTTGTGACCAGGTTGTTTTTAGGCCGCTCTCAGGTCCAGGCCGTGGCTCGAAGCAACAGCCATCCAGGTTCATAATTCTGTCTTGATACTTCCTGAGGCATAGTGTGCCTTTGAGTCTGGTCTTGCTGCGCGCATAACAGGTCTGTTGGAGCCTCTGCCGGTGCGAGCTGGCAAGTCCCAGCAGCTCCAGATAACCGTCCGTCAGGGTGCGTCCAAGGCAGGTGGGCTTTGGGGTAGCAAACCTCATGCAGTCTCAAGGAGACCGTGTGCAAGCCTGAGGTCACAGGATCTGCTGGCCCAGAATTTGCCTTACTCCTTGATGGGACAGATCTCGGGGATGGCGCCTTCTCCAAAGGCGAGGACAGGGGCTTGCCCTGCCAGTTGATGCGCTTGCCCGGTTGCAGACTTCAAGGTGACAATGGGATTGCGTCTGATCAGCCATCAGCAGAACTCTAGGGCTGGGAACCCAAAAGTCGGTTGCACGAGAGTATCACTTGTGAAACGTGAAATGCAGAGGGAAGCTTTCTGGAGTCGACGCTTGATGGGCACATGCTGCCTGTGGTACATTGGCCGTGGCCCATCAGCAAGACAGCGGCATGTATTGCTTGAGAGCTGTAACTCCATTTCGTAGAGCTTTAACTCTGTTTCGTAGCTTGCCATCCCCATGTGAAAGTTGTAGTCCCAAGACCTCAAGATCGTGCCAGCCTGCCTCAAGATCCTCAATGCAACCAAAAGATTATGCAGCGGTGACAACCTCACATTGTAGTGAAGCGGCTGATTGCTGGCTTTAGCTTCCAGTCCGATGCTGAGTTTATCGTAAATTTCAAGCAGCCCAGCATTCAGTTTTCAGCTTCGGCCTAACTTGGCTCAGGGCAAGTCATGGCAGCGGCTGGTCTTGACGTGCACTTGCATCCACTAGTGCCTGCCTCAACACTGCATGGAAAAGCAACACACAAGCCGGAATCTGGCTCTCGAAGGTCCTCATCAACGTTTCGGACCACGTCGTGCGATTCCGGAGCGCTGGTCGGTGCGCAGCCCGTTGAGGGAAGCCGAAAGTACATGCAACGGCAAGATTGGCAATCTAAGATAAACCTATATAACCCCAAAGATAACCCCATATAACCATAATATACAACCTTATATAACCCTATTTAACCCCATATAACCCTGTATATAACGCTATCTATAACCCTATGTAAACCCAGTAACCCTACAAGGTCAGAACGAGTTCTTGGTGCACTGCTTGGTGCACAGGAGGGAAGGCCTCGGCCGAGACCACGACCTTCCCTTCAAAAAAAGAGCCTTTGTTCGGCTGTGAAGGGTACCTTTAAAGGGGGTATAGGGGTTACATAGGGGATTTATATGTGTATATATGTATATGTATATATATATATATATGTTTATATATATGGGGGTTATAAAGGGTTTAGGGTTCCGAAACATGGAGTAGCTGTTCACCCCTCCAGGCGCATAGATGTGCACAACTCATTTGAGCTCGTCACCCAAGAAGCTGGCGGCGAAAGGCCAGAACCTGCTCCGTGCTAGTTTTAATCTCAGCAAGCCAAGTTGTGCCCCAGGTCGCTTGACCTAGAATTCTTCCAGCAACGCCTGTCCCAATATCTAGAGGCCGATGCCAGATCCAAACCCCCAAAAGCCTCGACATCCTAAATTCTGAGTTCAGGTGTTTCCGCGATACGAGTTCCTCGGTGGGGAACCAAGCGCGGACTGACTGAGGGGTAGAGATCGTGTGCTCAGCATCTTGGCGCAATGTCCTCCCATTCTCAGGCTGGTACTCCACTGGCCCTCACCCAGAAGAAGCTGACAAGGCTTTGCATAGAAAGATCCAGGAGGCTGAATGCTTGGTCCATGATGTAGCACGGTCTGCAAGACACAGTGATGCTTCAGGTTGGAGCCAACGAAAACCCCTTTGCCCTCCTCGTGGACTCTGACAAGATGTCACGGGAGAAGGCAAACTGACATGCTGGCATGCCTGAAGGGTCGAGTCAAGGGATGTCTGCTTGCGAGGCGTCGCAGGCAGAGGAGCTGCCAGTCAAGGCCGGCATCAGTTCTCTTTCTTATGCCCGTGAAATTGCATGAACATGGCATCGGAAGGTCTATGATGCCACAGTCCACATTGAGCAAGGTTCAGCTACAGTCACTTGGAACGAGGCCTATGCTTGCGCAATGCTTGCCGTGGAGCCGCGGGTCTGGAGCTCAAGTGGCAGTGTCAGCTGGTCTGACGCAGGTGCCGTACATCATCGACACCTTGGAGGCTGAAAGGATAGCAGTCATGCCGGCACAATTCAATGCTTTCACGCTTCGTATCGCTTCGTGACAGGACCAGACTAGATCCCGAGTGCATAGCATTTCAGGTCAACCATGTAGCCAAATCAGCTACTACGGCAGCTGCAGGCTGGAAATACTGGAAGAGACATGGCTGCAAGACCGCGACTTTCAACAGCCCATGCCAGGCTATTCGTCTGACTTCACTCAGTACACCAGTGGCCTGTCGAACTCAGTCGTCCAGCCCGCTGACTTTTTCACTGCCACTGCATCACGTAGCAGCTTTGCATTGCGTGATCTGCATGCCAGGTCATGCTGAGTAATCGAATCAAGGAGCTCTTAGAGCACATCAAGGAGGTGAAGGCCTTCAATCCATCCTTTAGTTCACTTACTGTCTGCGAGAGAACATGCACTCGCGCAGGAAGGGCGGGCGCCAAAGAATCCGGAGGTCCTGAGGCAGACGCTTTCCATCTGCCAGGCACGCGCGAGTGTCGCCTGCCATTGGGGGGGGGGGCTCAGGACAGGGAATCCCTCTGTGGAAGTACAATGCCCTCGTTTCAATACGAAAGGGAACACAACTGCTAAAAGCTGGTCTTGCAGGCACTGCAGTCTGTGCATCCCGCTGCCTTACAAGAGGCTGGCACGATGAGCCCGTGGTTCTGGGGTCTCTGCATCGCATTCAGAAGTTTCGAAGTTCCATTGGCATCTCATCAGGAGTTCTGTGGCGAATACAACGATGCCACCCTGGTCGTCCTGCTTGCAACTCTGACAAAGGCAAGGATGGCAGTTCGCAGAGCAGTGGCAGCTGCGTAGCCTCGGGTATGGCAGCATGTGAGCCTTTTGAAAGGTGTGCGCCAACACCTCTGACCTCCTTGACAAGTTTCAGCTTGCCTATGACAGGACCATCGTGCCTTTTGATTGATTCCTAAGATGCTGATCCTGGTCAGTGCAGGAAACATCGGCCAAGGCATCACTATCCTTTTGGCTGAGAAGCGTTGGAGTGTACCTTTGGATCTGCAAATCCGTGCGGCGTGCGGCGCTGTGCAAAAGAGCAGAACAGAGCAGCTTACCGGATACGATGGGAGGCAGTTCGAGCACTTGCACAGCCGGCGTAGTATGTTAAGGACTTGAGCTTGAAAGCTGAGAAACACGCCGCCGCTGCTCGCACGGCTCATCTTGAGAGGGCAAGTCTGGAGCCCTCAATGTAGCGGCAGCCGCAGGCCGCGCGCATTTCAGGGATGTCAATGTCGTTCATGGTCTGCTCTGAGATGGCCAGGCGGGCTTGATGTCCCTTGTGCGGCTTCTGGGTCACCATGTGCCCTTTCAGATCAGAGAAGCCGCAGAACAAATCTTGTTGACGGGGAGGTACTGGCGGCCCTGCTTTGCTGTGCCACAGCCAGCAAACTGAGGAGATCTGCAAGCTTGTCCGTTGGAATATGATTGCCCCCCAAACAAAGGTAAACCAAATGGAAAGAACATTAAAACGAGCTGATCATGAGATGGAAACTAGAGGCATACATTTGCATGGGTTATACACGGAATCATCCATGGGCGTGTTTGTATGCCTGAGGACGCATGAACAGGCTGTGCCAGCCAAGCCGCCCTGTTTTGCGTTTTGCTTCATTGTCATGTTGTACCGAACACCTCCAGAAGCTAGCCAGAGCTGCTGGTACTGAAGTTATTGTATTATTGTAGCGCTATAACACTGTATATAGGGATGTTATAGGGATAGCGGGCCCCATTATGGAGAATGAAATGGGGTTGTATAATAACACCGCCCAAAGAGGATCCCACATGACCATGTTCTGGCCCACCGGGAAATAGAAAAACGTAGCTGTTGGTCAGAAAATGAACAGAGGGAAAAACGAGAACAAAATGAAAGGTCCAGAAACTGGAGGACAACACAACAAGCACAACGTTGGAGTTGAGCCAAAAAACGGTGCTCCTTTACAGCCCCCCAAATGGAACAGAGCATGGAAGATGAAATAGAAACACAAAATGTTGTTATAGCTTTTTTTTATAGTTTTTGGATGAATATTAGTTCATTAGTTCTATATCAGCTGCACAACATGTGCTTCTTTCCAGATCAGAGCCGCTACTCTGGCCCCCCTTCCCGGAGCACCCAGAGCATGGCGCATGTGAACCCTTTTTTCGGTTCCGAAACAATTGTGGTCCCCATATAGGATTTTTCCAAAATCAGTGTGGCTTTTTTTTTGAGGGGGTGTCCCCATTATGCAGGGATTACATTGCAGCGTATTGGCTGTATACCGATGCCTGCTATGTGCGGAAACTTCCATAGTATTGTCCCCATCTATACACCTAATGCTCGCCTGGTTCAGAGTTCCAGGCCCAGGTGGTTGAAGAGCTGGGACTTCAATGGCAGCGCTGCGCCGTGGAAGGCGACGGACAGCTTCACAGCTTCCGTAGTACGACTAGTCCGGAACTCCATGGTGCATATTCTCATATCTCCACCGAAAAACAGAGACCAACGTTTACAACTCCAGAACAGGAGCCGAATGTGCTTGTGGCAGTGGCCATGTTCGTTTCGGCGAGGGGGACCGATGGGTAGCCGGCCAAGTCAACGTGAAGGGAGTGGTTTGGGGGAATGATTGCGTTGGCGGATGTTGCCAACATTCATGCTCTCATCATCAGGTTGCTCAGCAGCTTAGCACTGGGTCTGCTGCGGTGCCAGTTTCTCAGTGGCTCAAGTTTCCCTACTTTCATATGCGAGTTTGGTCCTCTGTCATGAAGAGGTCATGCAATGTTAGCAGCTTCGGAGAGGCCCATCATGGAAGCTGTAGAGACAAGTAACAAGTCCTGGAGCCAGAAAGCACAGGATCCCGCCTTCAACCGCATGAAGGTGCCCACAGCAAGCAAAACATATCTAGTTTCTTCTTAGCTGCTTCTGTTGCAGGAGTGCTGGTGTGCTGTCACAGCCCTGCACACAGCAAAGTCGCCATCGTGAAGACAGTGCTGCAGAGCCTGAGCAGAATGCTAATTCTCGAGTTCTTCAGGCCAGCGATGTTCCGCCGACTCGCGTAGCCATTGAAAGCCTGACCTGTTTTGGGACTGCAGCTCTCAGAGTTCAGAGGCTGAAGTATGTCCCTGGCTCCAAATCCCAGTTGAAAGATTTGAGGCCTAAAGGCTAACGAGCTACTCACACCTAGCACCCGAAAGTTCAGTAGATTGGGACATGCCATGCGCATGGCATTTTCTTCGATATGCTCGATGCCAGTACACCTGCTGACAGAAGTCTTTCTGTTTGAGATTCGGTGTGTCCTCAACACTCGCCTTTTGAGTTTCTGACAGGTCCCCTGCTGTTTCCGATACCGTTTCTGACTCGCCGCCCTGTCATCCTACAGTGGAGTGAATACCAGGTCATGCTCAGTCGACACCCGCCGGACCTGACAACTTGGATCAGGCGTGGCCGATTGGGTTGGTTGTCTCGACGGCGCGCAACATTAAATGTGATGTGGTGAGATGTGGCGTGAGTTTCTATCTGAGCTGGAGAGGTACCATCTTCATCACGCGGGGGCAAGCCCCCTACTGATGCAGCTGCAACCCCTTTGTAATCACAATCGTGCGTTCCGTGGTGCCAGGTCGAGCATATTTTCGTGAAAGCTGAGGACTCGCTTGTGCATCATGCGGTATGCACTTACCCATCTTGCATGAACACTGAAGTCTTGCAACTGAAGCACCATCTTCGAAGGACTCACCTCAGATGTCTGAAGCCGTCCAGCAGCTATCAGCGCAGGACCGGGCGAAGGTGCCGCAGTTGTACCGTACACTTTGTGGACGCATCCTTGAAATTGGGTCCCTGGTTTCTCTGGGCTCTGTCTGTGGTTGCCTATAAGCATGCTTCAGGGTGGGGATGGGAAAATGCTCACAGTTCACGTGCATCTGCAGCCTGTCAGGCCTCGCTTCCCTTGTTCCTTGTGCCATATGGTTCCAAGTGCAAACCGACGCCCGCATGAATTTTGAAGACCTGGAGCAGGTTACGCTGTGGGGTTCTCCTGGACCGAGCTTACGCCCGGGTCTAAAAAGCAAAGAGCCAACATGCCATGTAGCTGGCATGATGCACGGAGCTTGCATGTCCAGTCGGAGTTTCCTCGGCGGACTCGCGCCCCTTGGATGACTATACCACGCTGCAGGTGGGGTGGCTGTCATGGAAGCAGATGGCAGATGTTGACACGAGGCTTCTGCATAGCACTCCCAGGCCCGGCAAACTGCCACAATGGCCAGAGCCAGAGATGCCTGCAAGCAAATGGGGATCGATTGGCCATGGCCTGAGGCCATCTTGTTCTTAGGACTAGAGCAGGCTTGTTTCAATGGAGGTCTAAAGCCGCACAGCAGCAATGTTTAGAAGTTTGTACAAGGATCACTACCAGTCCAATCCATGTGTCATTGATGCTATGACTCTCCAGGCTTGTCCATATTGACGACGACGAGCTCTTGTACTCCCCACAGAACCGCAAGATTGGGGAGCGCAACTGACGGCGTTGCACTTGTTTTGCGAATTCCGCTGAGCTGGGAGAATTGTATGGTTGTCGGAGGATTTGCTGGGCGCTGTGTCCTCCAACTTTGTGCAGGCAGGAAGAAGTGAACGTGAGGCATTGTATGAAGCTGCGCTTGTTGTTATTCCACAGTTGCTGTCGGGACAGCGTGTCAGCTTGGCTCAACTTGTATTCGCCATCGGGACTGTGTTTTGCAGTATGGTGCTTGCTGACTGCGAATTTGCGCAGCTAAAGCTACAGCCAGACTTTCTGAAGGCATTGCCCCAGGCCCTCATTCTCAAATGCGTCGACAAGCCCTTGCTTAGATGTGGCAAGTTTAGGCTTGGACCTGCATACGCAGCGTGGCCCTGAAGGCAGCTCTCACCGGTCTCCTGTGCGAGTGTGCGGCCAGCGGCGACATCTCGGGCCTTCGAGTGCTCATCCACTCCGGGGCAGAAGTCAATGCTGCAACAGCTTACGACCTGCGAACGCCTCTGCACTTGGCAGCCGCTGCGGGCAAGCCTCTCTGCACACATTGGCACTTTTGGCAATCTTGTAAAAAGGTATGAGAGTCTGAAGGAAGATGATTGCGCATGGTGCTAGGTTGATCTTGATGGCTTCTGCGTTGTCTAGCTGTTGTTGTCTCATGCTATTCCTTGAACGCAGTCCAAACCCAAACACTCCTGGCAGAGGCTGGACGTGGTGAAGTTTCTTATTGCAGAGTGTGGTGCATCGCTGCAGCAGGATAGGTTTGGGTTGCTGCCTATCCATGATGCTGTCGAGAACAGCCACACAGAGGTGAGGCGTTACCTGCAGAGCCAAAAACTGGCAGCTCCTCAGCAGTCACTGCAAAAGCGGCGGCGGGTGGATTCCGCGGAGACTCTGAACAGTGCAACAGAGCCCAGTCTCGAAGGTGCTTTTGTAGGACCATTTTGGAAGCCAAGCCTTTTGTTTAGTCTTCTGGTGTGGTCGACTTCACTGCAAAAGACCCTGTCTTAAGGACAAGGACAGCGCCGACATAGATGAGCTGATGGGAACTGTGTTCGAGCTAGTTGTGAAGGAAGGGGTCTTCAGCTACACGACAGTCCATGCCGAAGTGAAGCACTTCTTTCAAGCGCTGCGCTTCCACGAAGTCTACTTCAAGCATTTTACTCCAATGCAAATCGCCAAGCACGTGCACTGCCTCATAGCAGCGAAGCACGTGGCCCGTGCCACGGATGACATCGGCGGCCTGGAGTTCGACTTCAAGTCCAGGGCTTGACTGATCATTCCAGTCTGACGAAGTGCGAATCAAGCTGAAGCCTGCCAAAGCGCTGCACCCTGTAGGTCGGAGCACAGCGGATTCTTCCTGAGCAGCATCGGCTGCGCCAGAGAGCCTACAGGACTTCGTTAGCATGAGAGCCTTCCTAACCTTCAAGTCATGTCGATGTTCGTGGCTCAAGGAGCCCAACTGCGAACGATCGACTCTGTGTCAGCTTTTCTTACCCACTGCTTTGAAGATGGGAAGAATGCACCTTGGTCTTTCAATGTCTCTACGGATTGGTGCGTAGCCTGTGGCAGTTCGTTTTCTTTGCTGCAGCATGCGTGGGACTGAGGTGGCATTGACTTTCATGTCTTCTGAGGGTCCGGCCTTTGTGGGTGGAGAAGAGCGGTTGGGCATCTACAGCGTAGAGAAGGGCCACTTCGAGGTCTCTCGTGTCGCTGAGGGAGAGGCCTCTTTAGAGGTTTTGGCCTCCTCGCGATTTCTGATGACCAAAACACGAGAAGCCAAGGAGCAGTACCAAATTGTCCTATCCTCAGCGGGTTCCTGGCAGGGCTGCTCACATGAGGTAGATCATGAATATCCGATCTTTGCCAATGTCGTGGCATTGCAGGCGGTATCGGGGCAGCTGGCATCATGGTAGTTTCTGAAGATTAATTTGAAAAATCAAGAGGATGAAGTAGGGTTCTACATTTTAGTTCGGCTTCATGTTGGTTTGTGTCATGTTGTCCAGAAGTTGCATCACCAGAGCCCTGCACTGCCCTGCTGCCAGCTATTTCTGCTGAGCATACGAAAAAGTAAGGGTCTCTTAGCCAGTAGTCTTCGGGTAATCTGGTGCGAAAACCCACTGAAAGAAGGGTAACCCCAAAAAAAACCTTCGTGCACCAAGCTCTGCAATACGAAGGGGCAACTTAAAAACAAAGAGCCTGATTTCTGGGTCAGATTTCCACTTGGATCTTGCCAATAGCTGAAGTTGTTGAACATTCCGGTCAAGGGGGCACAGGGCTGTTGCCGACGGATGCCTTCCGGTTCTTAGCTAATGCAGCATTCAGAGAGAGACAGGCTGAAGGCGTGATGCAAAGTTTCGTGAAGACGCTTCCATACTTTATTTTTCTAGCTTGACAGCCTGAGCTTTTCATAAATCGAGAAATCGTGCCCACGTCACATTTGGGCACCATTGGGTACGTTCTATTCTAGGGTGTATGCGCAAGGTCATGGAGGATGTCGTGGCAACGCGCAGGAGTGTGGTACGGGTGGTCCCGGGTCATGTGTATCCTGGGCCATGTCCTTTTGGATTTGTGGTGCTCTTTGCAACAGCGGAGACAGTCGGCCGACACTTCCTCAAGGAGATTTGGCAGGCCATGCGTTTTGTGGGGCTCATTCCCCGACGCTTCTACTTGGAGAGCTTCGCGAACGGCGTCATTACATACAGCCTCTTCTTTCCGACTGCTAGCGACGACCAAGTGGAGAAGTTGAAGCGAACGATCATGCACGCTACGCTGCTGAAAGCTACACCTGGTCGCTCTGCCCTGCTGTACAATAAAGTCATGCAGTCAAGGATCTGGTGCACAAATATCACATGCCTGGATTGAGATTGTTTCATTTGCAAGGTGAGTAAGGGCTACTCTTCAAAAATAGTCGTTGACCTCTGTCTGATGGTATACAAGTCGTTGACATAGCCATCAGTAGCCATGAGCACCGGGCTGCTCCTTACCTTTTGATACCTTTTGCAGGATCTCCCACGAGTGTGGCCTCTACTTACTGGCTGCTGTGAAATTTGTCTATGCCTTCTTCCCAAAGGAGCAGTACTCACGTGAGTATACAGGAGTCCACAAGGTGCTGGAGCAGAACCCCGCAGCCCAGCGAAAGCTCGAGACTCTGTACCGCTTGTGCATGAAAGACTTGCTTTCTACCGAGCGAATCTACCAGCTGAGCCTTGTTTTCACATATTGTGCGTTGTTGCTTTGGCTACCTTTCAGATGCATCGAAAACATCAGCTGTGCCTGCTGCACATGCACAATATTCAATTCTCGTCCTCAGAATAGCTGAGACACAAAAGTTCGGCAGCATTTTTTGCTTGGGGGTCGCCAAGGTTTGCGTGGATGTCTCTGCAAGCCAAGGATCAGCCGGCAACCAAGCCTGGCTGAGCAGTTCTATGCAGACTTCCGGAAGATCGCTACCGGCGCGCCGCTTAGTTTTCTCGTGTGTTTGCCACTGTTCAGAATAGCTACAGTAATCATTGCTGGAAGTCCTGACAGGAGAGTGTGCTCCAAGCTTCAACACTGAACTCGGCTCCTCCATCGATGCAGCGTGTAGTGACCCACAGGATCGCCAGATTCTGAGGACCGAGCATTCACGACATTGCGCTTGTATCCCAATGTACCAGAACAGCCTCTAGGGTCTAGCTGACACACATGCACCAGAATCTATACTTTCGCTGAGACTGCATGTGCCCGGTGCGCAGGATGTTCTTGACGTTCAATCAGAGCGTTCGGCTGACGAACTTCTTCAAGCCAGACATTCCTGGAGCTTTTGCATTTCGGCTGGACCCTGCGATTGTACTGAAAGACCGTCCCACTTCCCTCTATCCGGAGATTCCTTATGGGAGTTTTGGACTGCATTGCTTGCACAGCTGTGTTGTCGAGAGTACAGTCGTAGGCAGACATTCAACTCATGGCAAAGGATCTACATGATTTGTGGCCGCGATTTCATGGGATTCCACACCAGATTCCGTGATGTTGCAAGAGGTGGCATCCGCTTGATTATGTCTCGCGATGGGGCCGCATATGAGCGGAACTTTGCCACTCTCTTCGACGAATGCTACAACCTTTCCTATACGCAGCAAAACAAGAATAAAGACATTCCTGAAGGCACGCTGCCTGTTCCCATCACTAAAGACTATGCTCCCTGGCAGCCCTAGCATGTCTTCCGCAGGTGGAGCAAAAGGCGTGATCCTGCCGGACTCCAACTGGTCTGGTGCAAAGGACGTGGATGGAAATGCGCTCATGGGAAACTCCTCGCAAAGCCCAGCCGCAACGCGTCGCCTGACTTAGAAGGAATCGCTCGCGCCCTCCAATTCTTGAAGCTGCTGAGATGATGCATCCAACCCGAGGCTCATGCTTCATCAACTATGTCAACGCGCTGTTGGATTGTATGCAGCCAGAGCAAAATGGCTTATTCAGCGGGCACATGCGTGGCAAGCAAGAAATCCTGTTCTTTGGGCCTGACGAAAACACGGCGGGGTGCCTTGGAAGAAAAGCAGCTTGAAGCCAATGTAGATTTCTGCTACCTTTAGCTGGTAAGCTTCTTCCATATGCTTGGTGTAGTCGCACTGCAGATTTATGGACTTGGGCGCGGATATTGCTCGAGAGCGGGGCTATCCGTACTGGAAATCGCTCACCACTGGCAAGAGCGTTTCTCTAGGCTCGCATCATGCTTCTCGAACAGCTGTTTATGTCGATGTCTTGTGCATGTCCTGGACAATTGAGCAGCAAGAGCAAGCCAAACGTCACCATTTTACGCTACACTTGGAGCATAGTCGCATTGGGTTGGCTTTCGCTGCCGGAAGGTGGGGTGCCTCATGACACGTACGCTATGACCACCACCAGCGTCCACACCTATGTGACAGAGCTTCTGCAGCTTTGCCATCAATTGGGCAGCAAATGCTAGTAAGACCACGCAAGACATTTCATGTGCATTTCTCCGCTTGCCGTCCTCGGCTTTGTTGCGTTGCGTGCCATTCAAGGAGCCAGCTCGGTGAGGATGATGCATGCTCACTCTCAAGTTTCTGAAGGGAAAGCCGCTACTACTGCTGATGTTGCATGTTGTTTTGCAGGATGAGAGCAAGATCACCAAGTTTCAGACGGGGGGTCCAGACGGTGATCTAGGCTCCAACGAAATCCTCGTCTCCAAGGATAACACCGTGGCACCTTAGCTTCAAGTGGCATTGCTCTCCCCTGCTCGTGAACAGTTGGTGATCATATGCCCACCTCCCTGAGATCCCTGAGGCAATCGTGGACGGCTCAGGGGTTTTGTATGATCCAGCTGGCATCAACCGAACTGAGCTGCGTCGACTCGCAACGCAGCGCTTGCCGGTGAAGCACTTTAATCGATCTTTGGTTAAGCTGCTTGGCTTGATGCATGGTAGTAGGGGAAATATAAGACAATGGAAGCTATTATTATATTGCATTGGTTATATAAGGGTTTGTAGGGATAATGGAAAATGGAAACTAGTATAATGGGTTATATAGGGATAATGGGTTACGTAGGGGTAAGAGAGGATTTATAGACAGGCTCTTTGTAGGATAGCATGAAGTGCTGGAACATGCATGTGGCAGCACAGGAGTAGGCTTGAAGATGATTCAGTACCCTTCATCCCCAGATCCTTCCCATAAAGACATAAGATCATTAAATCTTAAGGGTTCCAAACCTACCCAGAAAGGACAGGCGGTTTCTTGGTGGTGGTGGATGACACCGATGTTGTTTTGCCTGATGGGACCAAGTACCTCACGGGAGCGGAGTCGCTTGACTGAGGTCATTTCTGGGGGTATATAGGGATATAGTCTGAACTCTTTAGAGGAGGGTATATATATAGGGGACTCTATAGGGGATGTTTATAAGGGTTATTAAGGAAAATGATAGGAGTTTAGACAATAGCTCATATAGGGACATATAGGCTCATGGGATTAGAATTGAACTACATGAGGCTCATATTGGGTCTATAGGGTTTGGTGCTGTTATTGCCTCAATAATAATACAAGAGCTCCATGGGATGTGGCTATTTACAGTACACCAAAGTCAGTGGCGGGCAGAGGCTGCGGGACTCTTTCCATCTAACGCCCTACGCTGCCGCGGATCTGTTCGTGCCGTGCGGCGGCCGCCCCAACTCCATCACCACTGACAACGTGAAGCGCTTATTCACGGCCGATGGCTTAAAGCCGAAGTTCCGATTGATCGTGCCTCAGCTGGAGAAGATCTGATGCGCCTAGTCTCTGCAGAGCAAGACATGGAGCTTAGGTGGAGGGCGCTAACCTCTTCCTGTCAGATGGTGCGCGTGTGGCTCTGGAGAATGCCGGTGTCCATGTCTTCAAGGATGCTTCCACCAACAAGGTGGGCAAGCACTCCAGCAGATCTAAACCTGACCACACAAACAAGCCAACAAGAACAACAAAGCAAGCAACAAGAAGAAGCCTCAGCATGTACGGCATGCCGTGTGTTTTTGAGCGGAACTATCCCTGAGGGTGGTGTCAACTCTTCATCACTGGAAGTGTTCGCGGCCCTTGCGCTGCCGCCAGAGGATCACTCAACACTCATGTGCTACGATCCTCGCAAAGGATGCTTGGTTGCCTGAGCTATGGAGACTGCCAAGTTGGAATTAGAATTCTGGGTGGTGGTCAAGGCTGAGCAAACAAGAAACTAAGGACAGGCACCGCAGTTTTATCAAGACTATGTATCTTGACAGCATCACCAAAGGTCATTCCATGCAAATATGACATTGAGTGCTCGGATGCGCAGCAGAGCCACAGACAAGGTGCAGCAGATCAAGGAGATCATAGTCGAAAACGCAAAGCAAGAATTCAGGGCGATCTGGCAATGCAACAAGGATGGAATCAAGAAGGCCTGGGACAGCTTCCAGCCTGCTTAGAGGGCATGTTGCAAATGCCTCTTCTCAGGTTGATGCAACTAGACTGATTTCCAGCAGCTCGGCGCGCTTCCTTTTTTCTTCCCATGCTGTCCACCCCTCTCTGTCCTCCTCCGTCTGTCTTATGATCTCTGATATCTCCCAACCCGTTCTCCAGGCAAGATCACCAAAATGCAAGACACAATCATGGAGAAATTCGAGGACCTTCATGCTCTGCTGGCCTTTCCTTCAAAACCCGTGATCTTGTGCTGATTCAGGACATGTCTGCTGCCGAAAGGGATCAGTTAGTGCGCCGCGTGCTGACTGTGGCCATCCCGCCGTTGATGTTGCAGCAGCTCATTTGCACTTATGAACGCATTCTTGTCTCACGTTGCCCCAGATCTCAGCACAACGTGAGCTGTGTGACTGGCGGGTTCTTGTAGCTGGGCCCGGCCATGCCCAGCCCATGAGCTTCAGGAAGCTTGGAATCGAGGCGCAAGTCCGTGGCTATTTTGCTGTTTGGTGCACCTGTTCTTGAAATGCTGAGCAGAGAGCTGGAGCGAAACTTGCAGGGAATCCTGGAGCGTGTCCCGGCGAATTACATCGCAGCCATTGTCGGCGCTTGGGTTGCGTCGCGCTTTGTGTACAAGCTCTTCGGATGCACAATGATGCACACGGTTAGGTGGCTGTGGATACCCGCGAGTGGGTGGGGCTGGTTTAACATTGTGTGGAACATCACATGGGTCCGCCTTCAAGGTATGGCATCAGCGCTACTGAGGCAGCCGCTGCGCAGTATCTGAATACCTGAGGGATAAAGATCGAGAAGACAAAAGCCACCAGAAGAGACTGACTCAGATAGCATGATATGGGCGAGAGATCAGATGAGGCAAGCCTAAAAGGATCATCATGCGGCCCTGGTGCAGGTATCCTTCTTCTTTTTCCTCCGAGGACTTCTCTCAGCTGACGTTGATGCTGCGCAGCAACCCTTTGCAAGGCAACCCTCGGATGAAGCGTTACGCCTGTAAGTCTGCAGGGTCTGGGTACATGTTCAAGGGCTTTCAAATGTGTTCTGTTTTCACATGAACTTGGGCAGCATGCGCAGGTAAACCGCGGCCTCCACTCTCAGGAGAGCAGCGGCAATTCGCAATATCCGGGGCCACTCCGAATCTCAGCTACCAAATTGCGTTGCTGGATGCAGATCCACGGCTCCTCCAAGGGGTATGTGCGTGCACCGTACACACTGTACACTGTACAGAGGAAGTGTGCAGGAATTCGTGGCCTTTTGCCTGCCGCGAGCGTCGTTGGACTCCGAAGCTTGGCTACATGGGGGACGAAAGCCTGCAGGAAGATATTGTTGTGGATTCTGTTTCTCGTTTCAGACGTCTACAGTTCAAGTCTACACATGATTAGAGTGTCAAAGGTGGTAAGGCAGGGCCTTCATACCGACAAGCGTTGATGCATGTCATGGAGTCCCATGTCAAGTGGTATTCCAGTCTCGAACCTGAGGCTTAGAAGTTGCTCGCCAGGCTATGTAATATTGAAAATCCATCATACTGCATGATGACCTGCGCGAGGTTCGTCGTTTCTAGCTTGGAGCTTTCTCAGAAGTAGTGCGGCTGGGTTTCCTTCGTGGAGTACCCGGAGAAAGCTGCCGAGGCAAACGAAGTCGCGCTCCCGACGTGCATCCGTCTCACTTTGCTTCTATCTCCCGGCTCGTTTGCAATGGCCTGGGATGGTTTATGTTCAGTGTGTTCTGGAAGATAGTGTAGGACGTAGCGTCGTGTGGCTTACATCCGCTGCGACAGATTCAATTGCGGAGTTTTCAGTCAGGAGAGAGAGCTAGCAATCAAAAGGTACAAGGTGGGAGTACAACAAAGGCTATACTACAGTGGTCACACGGATGGTCAAAACTGAAATGAATGCTGCCTTGAGTCAGACCAGCAAAAATCTTTTGCGCAGTGGATGCAACGCCTGCAAGATACAGCAGTGAGGGCCCATTTGACATGAGGCCTTCATGGTTTCAATAGGTTTGAGCATACAGCTCAAACAGGGCAGAGCGTGAGGGTGCTCCTTTCGCTATGTTCGCCCGCATAGATTTGTTTGCATACAGAGGCTCTCGGGGTTTCCAGGCGTGAGATGTTGCGCATCAGTTGCGCGCCTCCGCAATGGCTGTAATACAGCTAGGTCAGAGAGGATCTTGTCATGGGAAAAATGTGCTTCTGCCTCTGTGATGGCTTGAAATCGGCTTCCCCACGGCCTGGGTTGTCTTGAATTGTCCAACCACCAGGCATACCTGCCGAACGTGGAAGCTGTTTACAGTTCTCCAGAGGCCAATAAGCTGCGTGCTGTTCGCATTCCGTACATGCTTCCTGCTGCTTCTGCACTGCCGGCCAGGTGAAGAACTGCTTCGCTCAGACGGAGAAGGCAGCTCGGGTGTCTGCAAAATGTCCCAAAGGCATGAGCTTTGTTGTGTGAACGCCTTCCAAATCGAAGGTGAACCTGAACCGCTACACCTTCCAGTCATATGCCAATGGCAAATCTGCCCTGCGCGTGGCAGCCAATGAGGCCCATGACATGCAAAGCACTGCACCTCTTTCACTGCGGTATTTGCCCCCGTGTCCCGAAGAAGTTGGATGTATCGAGGCGTACCCTGCGGGACCTCACCAGTGGCGTGACTCACAGAACCGTGAACTTCAGTCAGTTCACCTGGATCAGGTGGATCGTGCCGCTTGTTACGCCAGAAGCTGTTGAGGGTCTCTGCATGGCAGGAACCGTTCGGGCCAGCCCTCATGGTTGTCCACTATGAATCTTGTCCGTTTTCCAGATGGCAGGACACTCCTTTCATCCTTCAAACCAGACCAACCAGGGACGTGATTCAGTGGGCAGGTCGAATTTCTGCCTGACCAGGACAAATTCTGGGAACTTGGTAACACATCCCCCGACAAAATCAGCTTGGCCCTCAAGATTTCCATGAGAAGTCATAGATGCTTCGCTTGGCGGTCTTCAGAAGTTGTCATACTGCATATATATATATACTACGGACTTAATGTATTTGGTATGTCGAGCTCAAAAAAGACTCCAGGTGCCGTCGGTTCCGAATTCAGGCTTGCCCTGAGGTCAGATTCCATTCCAGTTCTACCGCGAGTCCATCACTCGGATGCAAGCCTGCAGGAGAGGCTAAACTTTCCCAGCATTGGTTGAACTCCTGCTGCAAGAAAATGATTCCGTTGAGAGGAGCAGCGGACAGCAAGCAGATCACATCCTGTCTCTGCTGGGCTGTGACCAGGCTTTTCGTCTGTTTGGCTCTTTGGTGTGGGCGGAATTTGACGGGCCTGGAACGAAGGGCTCCTTGATGCAGCTCTGGAGTCAGTGGAAGACAGCGGAGAACCCGTCTCTGAAGAGCGAGGACTGCTTTTCCAGCATCATATTCCCGGAGCGATTACTCTGGGCCTGCTGCAGGACCTCATGCCCATCCGTATACCTTGGAAAGCGATTCTTGATGATTTAGAGTAGGACTTGGCCCAGTTTATCTCCCGCCACTGCATGCAATCAGAGCTTGAAAGCGTGCTGAAATGACCTGAGATGCACACGCTAGCATGCGGAAGTCAGTCCCTGTTGCTTCACTTCCTTAGTCTGCGAGTTGCCATGTTTTCGAGCTGCGTCACTCAAGCTGGGGTTCCGGTACGCATGGCCAACCAACCTTCTTTACAAAATGGCTGGGGTAGTGACTGGTAATGCAGATAGAGAGTGACAATGTCTGATAGTTTGTTAGCAAACTGCAGCTTGCAGTGTGACGGCCATGGCGGCTGCGGTCGTCACTGGCTCCAGAAGTTTACTCAGTGGAGCGACGTCTCCACACGCAGCACAGAGCGCTCGCTCGCCGACTGCTGTCGCGAACACGTCCGGCACCGCACTTGCCAGCCCTTCAGGCTGGGGCTCCTCAGCAGCTTCAAAAGCTACTAAATTTAGGTGATGCTGCGCTGTTGTGCTGGCTAGAGTTATTTTGGCGATAAGGACTTCAGTGCCATAACCAGATGAGCATTTAGGTGCTAGAGGAAGTCCCTCGGGCACGGAACTAGATTCAGAAATCGGCCGGAAACAACTTCCAAAATGAAAAGTGGTTCCCACTGTGCGCGCGGAACGTCGCCAAGCTTTTGCGGAATGCCGAAGAGCGCCCGGAAGCACAGCGTTGGAAAACCTGCCAATAGTCTTCGCGGAGAACTTGCGGAAGGTCCGCGGAAGCTCGCGGGCGGAAGCTTCCTTCTTTCAATTAATAATATATATATATGTACCCTTATTTTATGTTCTCAAATGTGGTCTGCTCATGCAGAGCCTACTTGCCCAACACCCACGCTTGTCAGCTTCGTTTGCGCCGAAGTCACAACAATAAGAGAGCTATCCATGCACGATTTGGGAATCAATCTGGATGTTGTCTGTATGGAGGGCTTCGGAAACATCAGGCAGATTGACAGCTGCTTTGCGCAACACCTTATACAAGCCTTGTTCAGTTGAAAATGCAACAAGACTTAGAATAGAAGAGCTGTGGCATAACGGAGGTGGCCCCAGACTACAACCTCCTCTTCCACAACCTGTACAGCTGCCAACAGAGGCCGAGTCTGAGGAGGATGACAGGGGTAGTTTCCAAAAATAGGAGCATGACACATCCGCTGGCTGTTTGCCCTTCTCATTGCCTGAATCTTTTGATGCATCTGACCGTTACAAGTGTTCTGGTGGATTCAGGTGTCTGCTTCGGAAAAGTTAATGCAAGATCTTGGAATGAGGAGGCATTTGAAACATGGCGGTGCCGTCATCTTTTTCTGCAGGCGTGAGAGGGTTGTAGACTACGTGAGGATGATGCTTGGTCATCGTTGAGATCCCATGCGCTGTCCAGATAGAGCAGTGGAAACCTCTGAAGTGGATCGTACCGCGGTTGTTCCCACCTCTGTGTGTTGCAAGTCTGCCTGAACCGGTCAGGTTTCATGTGCTTGTAGCCTGCAGAGCCCTGAAAGAGCCCTGAATGCTGATGTTTTTCTTGTTTTCCCAGGCTTGTTGTTTTGTTATCTGATTTTTGCCCTAAAATCTTGTCTACAGATTGAAAATGACTGACGTTTCCACCAGCAAAACCCACCACAAACCAGATCTTCCGACTTTACCGGTGGTGGCTGCTGCGATGGCTCTTTCGTGAGCGCTCTTAACACCTGGAGGGGTTTGTTGCGCACTGTGCTTACTAAGCAAAGGCGGTGTCTGGGCAAGCCTCTGTTTCTACTTGCATTGACTCTCGCATGCGTCTGGAAGAATGTCGCTTTCCTGTAAGTGTGCCAAGACTTGCGTCGTGCGCAACTTGCCCTTAAAGGTGCCCTTAAGCTGGAGCCCTTTATTCCATAGAGAGGAAAGCCTCTTCATCTAGGTTTGGGCATATTACGGGCGCAGTTTCTGAACTAACTGCTTGGGCAGCTGAGATTCTTAAAGTCATTCTCTGTGATGCTGTGACGGTGAGTTAGCCTTTAGAGGTTGCGCAAAGTGTCCGAGCATATGCTCATTTTCCCGTCTGTATTTGTGTGCTTCCTACTGAAGTCTGAGTGACATTTCACTGCAATCAGTATGTCATTGAATGCTCAGCATCACTTAGTCCCCGTCGCAATGTGTTCTTTCATGCCATGACACTTTCAGATCATGTTGAAATCTTTCAAAAGCAGGACTCCAGCGATACCGGTGATGACTCGGAGCAAGAGGGCTTAGGGGTTGCGCACAGGGTGTCTGCGCATGTAATGGGTTGGGGGGCGATGGCCCGATTCCAACGCCGAGCCTCCGTTGCAGAGCTGCGCGAGCAAGGCATGTCTGACGGCGAAGCGAACGCCCACGCCGTTGCACAGCATCGCAATGAAGTTCTCTTTCACTTGTATTCGCGGTATATCATGTGCGCAGCCCTAACAGCTGTTGTGCTCAGCGTGATAGTGTGTGCCTTGTTTGCATGGCACATGTGGGAGTTCTGGGTCTACAGGCATGTCAAGTGCAATGGCAACTTGAAGATAATGACCAGAGTGGTTCTGGGTATTTCCTTGTTCGACATCTTAATGGGCACCAGGGTGTGCTGTACAGAAGTGGACGAGACCAGCCTCCCTCGAAGATGGAGAATGAAAGATTGCTGCATTGTCCTTTTGCTGCTGACAATGGGTCTGAATGTTTGGGGAGTACTTTCGCTGTCGGCTGCGCAGATCAGCGGGGTAGACGACATAGCCCTGCTGCCTGACTGTGTCGACGCGGCACCAGGTTTGTATGCAGCTACGGTCGCACATGGCGTGGGTCTCATTATCTACTCCGTCTACCTGCTTATCAGCTTCATAGGTGTCGGCAACCTGCTTGAGACGTTGCTTCGACGTGGTCTCTTGACCTCGCCGGCTGCAGCACCCAAAGGATGCTTGGAGGACAACACCGTGGAGGTCACCCAAATTGATGATGATTATGAATGTCCTATTTGCTTGGAAGAAGTGACCGTCGAAAGCGGGGTAATGACGAAGGAGTGTCACCACATATTTCACCGGCATTGCTTGCAGCACTGGTTGCAGGTGAACAGTACTTGTCCGCTGTGTCGGCTTAGCCTTGTCAAGCGTGACGCCTATCCGTAAACTCCCTTGCTGGGCAGCCTCACAGCGCCCCTTCCTCAGCGAAGGCGCTGTGTTTTAAACGTCAATGTTCCATGAGCCTTTTGTCTTTTGCAGAGTTCAGGCTTGCATGCCTGTATGGATCTGCATAAGCTGCCTGCGATACATGAGTGCAAGTCATGAGCGTTAAAAAAGAGGCAGAAACCAGCTGCACAAAGATGCAAAGATGCCTGAAGGGATCGACCAGGTCGAACGTGGGCTTCCTGCACTTGAGCTGGCTCAAGTATAATTGCAAACAGCTCCACATGTAACTAGCCGCCAGCGATGCATGCATGACACACGCACGCCGCGTCTTCGCAACAAAACTCTCATTTGCTGCCCTCCTTCACGCTAGCTTTGCTGAACTTAACTCTGCTGTATCCAACGTCTGGATCAGAAATTTGTGATGGTTGAGCCTTCGCGCACACAAGGCAGATGATTCAGCCCATAACTCGTGAAGATATTCTTGGGGTGCCGTGAGGCCGAGCTTGATATGCCAATGTCTCGTTTGTAATTTCCACATGCATAGCATTGCAGTGTCAAGAAGCGTGCACTCAACAAGAGCTGAGTCCATCGCCATGTCAGCGGAACAAGCGCTACAAATCGCTGCTCAGCGTTGAATCCAGGTAGATCCATGCGGAGTTTCTCGAAATGACCCTACAGAAGCCTCCCATAATAATCCCATTACAATCCCCATGTTACGGTGTTCAGACAGTCCGGTCTCCGGGGCCTGCTCAGGGAAAGCATGCAAGCTTGTTTCAGCAATTTGGGTATCAGTTTAAGGGCAATTCCCTGAGCTTGATTCCAAGGAGTGTGGGAATTGAACTTACTGCTGGTTGCAGGGAAGAAGGGAGTATGATCCGTATATCATACAGATATAGTTATATATGGTACCGCCCCGCCCCCCAAACCTACCTTTCCTGAGAAAACACTTATTCGTATACTCTCCCTTCTGACCTACTACATGCACATATATATACACATGTATTTATGCGATAATCAATCTGTAAATTATGATTAGGATATATTATATACACATAATCTTTATAATAACATGAAAATATTGAAATATTGAACTTTTCAATATTTCAATATTTTGGATCCAAGATCCAAGATTCCAAAAATAAAGTTTCCAAGAATCTTGGATCTTGGATCCAAATATTGAAATATTGAACTTTGCAGTATTTCAATACTAGGAATCTGAGATTCCAACATTTCATGACACTATAATGCATGATATGTATTTGTATGTTCTGATTTCCCCCAATTAAGCCTTTTACTTAATAAGCTACAATTTAACGGGTAAATTCTCCGACCTTAGGCTCCTTTTGATTTTTCCCCGTACAGACCCTTATCTATAAGGTAGTTTACGCGAGCTTCTATGAGATATTCTACAGTGTATATATCCTATAAGGTATTTTACGGTAAGAACTGTATAGGGTATATATAGTGCAGAGTATCATATATACGGGATACTCTACAAGGTATTCTGTAGGGTGGTATTCTAGGTATAGTCTATATGGTATGTATAAGGTATACAAGGAATATTATATGAAGTATTTTACAAGTACATTATCAGGCATTCTATGAGGTATTCTATAGGACAGTCTACAGGGAATTCTATAGGTTATTCTAGAATGTATTCTATAAAGAAATTCTTTAGGCTATCGGCTATAGGGTATTCCGTTGTGTACTCAGCAAGATATATGTAAGGTATATAGAGGGGCAGACGTCTGTGAAGGGGACTGGTTGATGCAGGGGAGGGATGGGTGCAGGAAGGAGACGGATGGAGGTAGAGATGGGGGGAGGCAGAGAGGTTAGAGAGTGGGTCATTCAAAACCGAAGACAAGAAGATACGGTTTGATATCACCAGATTCTATAAAGCATATTCATTTTTGGAGTTTGGTGTTGTTGAACCGCTGTGATCTCCTAGTATGGATATTAAAAAAGGGGGCGGTTCGATAGCACCAGATTTTCTGAAGCACTTTTTGTTTTTGTTTTGATATTAAAACATAGCTATGGTAACTTTTATGTTATTCAAATGCCGGTTCGATAGCACCAGATTTTATAAAGCATATTCATTTTTGGAGTTTGGTGTTGTTGAACCGCTGTGATCTCCTAGTATGGATATAAAAAAGGGCGATTCGAGAGCAGCTTTTCTGAAGCGCATTTTCTTTTCTTTTCGTTATTGTGACCTATCTATGGTACCCCTTATGTTATTCAAATAAACGACAAAGAGGGTCGGTTCGATAGCACCAAATTTCCTGAAATATGTCCTTGTAGAAAATCTGGTGCTATCGAACCACCCCTTGTTTGGCTCCATAAAAGGAGCTCACAGTGGTTCGGCAACACCAAATTTTCTACAAGGACATGCAAGGTGACATGGATATGTTATAAGATTGCTAGCAAAACAAAAAGGTACTTAAGAAAATCTGGTCTATCGAACCGCCCCTTTGTCTGTACACATGGTAGGATATCATAGTGATTCGGCAACAACAAGTTTTTCACAAGGACATGCTTCATAAAATTTCCCGATCCCTTGTTGGAATAACACAGGTGTGACATGCATATATCATAGTATATTGGCAAAAGAATTCAAGGACCGGAAAACCCCACATGTGTGGTTTACCTGAATCTATGTGTATTGATATTAGGACACTGCTGCCCGCCGAAATAGGAAGACTTCGAAGAGAAGATGGAAGACGAAACGAAATTCCGGAACGAAGCGAACGGCGTGTTGTGCGAGTGTAAAGATAACACTGTATATTCCCATGTTTTATATGTAATGTTCAGTATATCGTAATGCTTGACTATGGAGAATGTATGCTCCATGAAAGATTGTATAAAATCATTAGATTTCACTGCACAGGCAATGGTTTCCTAAGAAAAGGTAGGTGTTTGCCGGGGGAGGGGGGGGGGGGG